AGGGAGGGAGGGAGGGAAGGAAGGAAGGAAGGAAGGAAGGAAGGAAGGAAGGAAGGAAGGTGGGTATAACTCTATAACCAAACGACCTAAAGAACGCTATCTGAAAGCTTTTTCTATTTCACGCCCTACCCTGTGCCATACAGGTGCATACTAAAACGGCATAAATGATTTACACATATTTAACATGTTATACCCATGCAAAATGACTTCAAAATCTGATTCTTAAAAAGAAAGAAAAAATGCCAGGGCAGAAATGAACCTCCAGGTCAGCCGCGCAGGCAGCGTTAATAAACTACCTCGGCAGGAACACTGGACATGTAGACCTGGTCCTCGCCGGTGCTCAGATGTGAGTGCACAGGGACGTGCAGTTCTACCGAAGCCCTGCACCCCTGCTTCCCACCAGCACCCCAGTGATGGCCACGTGCCAAAGCACAGTCCCGGCGGACCCCATCAATCACTGCACGTCGCCCACACAGGCAAACAGACTGGGGACTGACGATCATGCATCCTGCGCCTGCTCAGGGCTCGATCCTGCCCTGACTTCCGGTAGGGAGAGATTGCAGGCAGGACCAGGAAATTGGGGTCGGGATCCGCACAGAACTCGGGAAGTCCAACCGAACCCCGCTGCCGTTCCCCAGGCAACGCCGGGCCAACCCGGAAGTCCTCCGCTCACCTGGGGAACCGCGCGTGGCGGGTGTGGAGACGCAGACTGAGCGCTCAGCTGTGGAGGAAGCGGCTGCGTGTCGCGAGCCTGCGCCACTGCTGCGCACGCGCAGTTCCCCAGCCCTCCCTCTCCCGCTCCCCTCCCCCCCCACACCTGTAGCCCTGCACCGAGCTGGCTTACCTGGTTCCCACTTTGCCCCGCTCTCCCACTGCCAGGACCCGGGCACACCATTTTCCCAGGAAGGCTGTCCCCTCATCCACCTCTGTGTACGCGTTAGTCTTGTCCCGAGGCTGTTACCGAAATTGTTAAGGCCAAAGTATAAGGAAAAAGTAAGAAGCTCGTAGGGAGAAATGAAAGGTGAGAACGCAGACGTCCTCAAACAGCAAGGAGCAAGCTTTGGTCAATGCCAAGGAAGGGACGTTTCTAGTTCTGGCCATGTGTGCATGATCGGAGCACAGGACTCCAGACCAGAGGTCCCATGCTTTAGGCTGGGGTTTTTCTAGCTGAGGATGTGAAAGGGAGTTTCCTAAGGGCAGAATGAGAACTACAGGGACAGTTGTCTTTGCAACCTCTGGGTGACTGGAGTAGGTATCAGCGGTTTTGTTTGTTTGGTTGGTTGGTTGGTTTCTTTATATATTTTTTGGGTTTGTGTGTGTGTGTGTGTGTGTGTTGTACAATTACTAAAGAACTGTTTGAGTTCAATTTCCGGGATTTGGCGGGGGGAAGGGAGGAGGGCGCGTTCCAGACCCTTTTTTTATATATAAAGGATAGGGGAGACTTCTCTCTGGCTACTTCCTCTTGACAGGGGACATCGTTTTAGAAGTTTTTCAGTCTAGGATGACTCTAAAAGACACACTGTTTTTAATTTGATTTGCGTGATGGACTAATTTCTGTCCAAAGACCCAAGAGAAATTTCTGTTTTTTAAGTTTAAAAGACAAGGCAAAAACGTAAGGACAGGGAGGATTAAGAGGAAGGCAAAAAGTTACAGGAGGAGCAGGATGGCAGGGACCAGGAGCCCATTCAGAGAAGAGACTGTGGTTAGGTTGTTAAGACCTGATCCCGGAGCTGCTGGGTCCCATACTGAACCATCTTTTTTTTTTTCCAAAGTTTATTAAATTATAAAAGTTTCCATTTCCGCCCCCATACTGAACCATCTTTGACTTGGCGTAAAAAGAGCAGTGTTTCTGGAAGAGAATGCAGACCCCTCTGTGGGACTCAGTAAGGAATTCTACCCCACCACCGAGGCCAGAGTCAAGTTTATCTTGAATGGCATTGATCTGACCTGAAATGTATTCAATAAATGGGGCAATTTCTAATGCAAGGCCCAAGAAGTAAGCCTAGAATGATCAGAAAGATCCTAGAGCGGTTCCCAGAAGTGCATTGTAGGAAGGAGGGCTCAGTGTGCCTTCAGGTGGTCCTAAATTCATGATTCTCTTCTGCAGCAGGACCCTCGCCGCCTTCGAGGTTCCTTATAGGCCCTGAACGATCACTGAGTGGCTCTTGTACTGAACTAATTCAATGCACATCCTTCTAACTCAGGATAAGTGCAACAGCATCAGACAGTAGCCAGTGGTGTGGAACCTGCAGCAAATACTCGCTGTGAGAAAGGAGAAAAGCACAAACTGTTAAGTTATCCGGACTGGGAAAACACTTAGCAGGACCAAGCACAGTGCCTTCGCGTGCCTAACAGTGCTCAGCACTGAGGAGCAATGCAGGGATCTTCCTCAAGGAACAGCACCAAGAGGATCCGGGCACTGACGGGAGGGTTCGTGTCTTCACTGTGATGGAGAGGCCCACAAATGTGAGCCTATTTCCATCCTGTCTGAAGGTCAGAGACTTAGAACTTCCTTTCCTTCAAGGCAGTTGTCTGCTTCTACCCCAAACAAAGGCCTCACCTAGATTCAGGTCAGAGGTTCTGCTCGCTCAAGGTTATTGTCAACAGGTGTGGCTAATATCCAGCCCTTCTATTTCAAGCATAGAGAAGTAGGTCAGTTTCTACCTCAAACAGAGCTCTAAGGATCCTACTAAGACTTTACTACCTTAGGGCGATGACCATGGATTCTACCCAGGGACTGGTTTGCATACAGAATGCTTTTGTCTAGGGTGTAAGCAATACTTGCCTTGTTCTAGCAACAGAAAGTTTAAGAATGTAGCCTGCAACCTTCAACTGGTATATTCATTTCCTTCTATCATGTTAATATAGTTGGTTACCTTTTGGGGTCAGGGGTAAGATAAGCTAATGGAAATTAAACATTGGCGAATTCAGTATTCATGGAACTCCCTCCTGGTACTATCCTATGTTTCTGTTTATTATTTTCACTCCCATCTTCGTTCAAATGATTTATTTTTCTAATCCCCGGGCCCCTACTCTGGTAAACAGAATCTTTGTCAAAGTCGATCTCCAACACTGTGATAGATACAAGTCTATAATTCCAATGAAATTATATAGGATAAGGGACTTAACTATGAACAGAAAAGAGAAGTCTGAATAGGAAGGAAGATTGTCTCATTCTCCATATGTATATTTTACAATATTTTTGAAAATATGTATGATTTCAGTATTATTTCTTACAGTACCTTGAGACTTTTCAAGTATTTCCACAAAAACTTCAAGGGACAGGTGCAGCAGAGACGGCTCAGCAGTTAACAGCACTGGGAATTCTGATGCCCAGCACCCAGAACATGGCTAACAACCTCCAGTCCATGGAAACCGATACCTGTTACTCTTCTGGGCTCCAATGACACCAGGTATGCACAAGCCACACAGACATGGAGGCACAACACACACACGAAAAAAACACAAAACACAAAAAAATCCTTACAATTTATTAAGTTGGAAAAGTTGGGATCGTTCCTGATTTTTTAAAAAGTTATTGTGCACATACACAATAATGAGTGAGTAACATGCGTGTGTGCACCTTCGTGTGTGCCAGACCAAACCCCACTGCAAACCTGCAGAGGTGTCAGAACCACTTCTGAGAATCAGTACATTCACCCCGCCATTGCCTGGGTTCCAGCCACCTGCCCTCACTGCTGAGTATCCCACACCTGCCAGTCCTTTTTCTGGTTATTAATGATTAGTAAACAGCTGACTAGAGGGCTGACCTAAAATGGGAATTTACTACATGCAATCTATAGGAAACAACAGAATTTCTGTCATGGAAAGCTCTCATCTGTTTCCTGGATTTCACTGTATTCCCAATACCACCCCCCTCATGAATACTGAGGTCAGTGCAACTCAAAAGTCTTACTTTATTTCAAGAGCCACTGGTGCAGGGAGCAACCTACTGAAGAGTAAGGAAATGGAACTTGACCTTGGATTCCTACTTCCTGGGTGTCAGGAGCAGTGAGGATTCGTGTCCCTCTACTGAACCAACTGTAGACTTTCTCAGCACAGAGCATTCTGTCATCTTCAAAGGGGAATAAGCGGTCCATCGTGTGCTATTTTGAGTGAAGAAGAGCAGCCTTCCCTGATGTCCCTTGCCTCCAGGTAAGGCAGGCATTAGAAGTGTGTAAAGAGAAGCCCGTGCGGTTAGGGAGGAACGCTTCTGCCCAAGGATTATCCAGCAGCTTTGCTTTGCACGCAGTGCGAAATTCAACACGACTTCCGAACCCTCGCCCTTCTAGTTGTAGGAGTTCATCCTACAACTCTACTTCCTGTGACTTAAGGGACAGCGCGTTGTTTCACTAGACAGCAGGATGACTAGGTACAGAGGTCTGGTGTGCGAGTTGGGGAATACAGTACAAATTGACACGAGCGCAGACGAAGAGTCAGCAGCATGGGCAAGCAGATGCCTGACTGCCAGGTGGACAGCTGCAGCACCCTCTCTCGGAACTTCCCCTGCAGACTTGCCTGACTACTGGCTTCCAAGTCGCCTTAAGGAGAAAGCCTGAAATACCCATGAGCTAGCTGGCCTAGCCGCTTTTTTGTTTGTTTGTTTGTTTGTTTGTTTGTTTGTGGCTGGTTTTTAAAACTCAGTAACACCCTGCATGCTCCGAGCTAGCGAAATGTAGCATATTTTTTCATTGGAAATTTTTATAAAAATGAGTACAATCTTGCGAAGGTGAGCCACCACTCAATAAAGAGACACCAACACGACAATAGCCCACTTTCTAAAAGTCTAAAGAAAGCAAAACCCAGAGCAACGGCACACTACGCCACGCCCTCTTGGGGGCGGGATCAAGGAATGCGCCTGCGCATTGCGCCCATGCTGGCCTCTCCGACCTACAACAGCTAAAAAAAAAAACCACTGCGTGGACTGGCTCTCCAGCTACCTCCTGCTGCACAGTTAACCCGAGGTTCGCTGCTCTCCGAACCCTATTCTACACACACCCAGCGATGTCGTCCTGCAACCGCGTGGCGCTGGTGACCGGGGCTAACAAAGGCATAGGCTTCGCAATCACGCGTGACCTCTGTCGGAAGTTCTCGGGGGACGTGGTGCTCACCGCCCGGGACCAGGCAAGGGGCAAGGCCGCGGTGCAGCAGCTGCAGGCAGAGGGCCTGAGCCCGCGCTTCCACCAGCTGGACATCGACGACCTGCA